TATATATCGCAAAGGAATTTAAAAATTTTTATATCCAATAAGAAACAACGAAACTGCCAATTTCAGTAAATCCTTGACACAGATGATTTTGTGCTTTTATGCTTCAGTGGTGATATCATAAGAAATTGATACTGAAATTATAAATTTGAACGATGAGAATTTTATCAATACCATTAGGAACTACAAATTATATTCTAAAAATATTTCTATCTTCATATGCCCTTTCCTCTTGTTTTCTATTCTCAAATTTTCTCAGTACAGGCAAATTTTTATCAACCCTGCTTCAATTATTACTAAAACATGTACGAAAGATAGGAATAATTTTCTGTCATTTAAAAAGAATTTACTTTCATCAAATTTTATTAATTAATTATTCAAATCTCCGTTTTACCGAATTTCTGACAAACCTTTTCTCTTTCTCTTTTCCATAGGTACACAGAAGTCACGGAGTATTGTACATACCTTACGAAGGTAGAGAAGTCCCAGTTAGGGAATACGAGGTGCTCGTGCAATGCTAATTAATAAACGTAATGCAGTAAGTTCGAAACTGACTTGAGACTTGATTAAAATTTCTTCAAATTGTAGAATTTCAACATGAATGCGTCTAAATAAACATTAACATTCGAACACATCTACGTTACAAAGCTATTCTTATCTGATATATTAACACACTTTACTTCACACAGACACAAATTTCACATTCAGTTAAATGCCGGAACGTTGATCTAATTTCGCAAAAATTCGTCCGAAAAAAAAAAAAGAAAAAATAGGAGTAAAGCTGTACCTATGCATCTGCATACTTGTGCCGAGCATCAAAGAGCAACCGGTGATCGTTTTCTGAACGCACACCCGTTAGGTGGTTGGCACGTGGCGGTTGTGGCATTATATTCCCATGGCTGGCACGTGGCCGTACGCCAGTACCCCCAAATCCCCTTTACAATCGAGAACCCCGCCACCTCCTATTGTTGGGGAGCCGGTACCCCTGAGGGTTGCTCTCGCTACGTAATATTTTGATCTGAGAGAAGCTGCGTTTCGTTTGAGCAGCGTGCAGAATGGTAAGGGTTGCCCACGTGGTCGCAATCGTTCCCTTTTGATTAATTTTCGTACAGATCGACTGGCACGAATGTAAATGATGCTTAACAAAGGAAAGCTCGGAGAAAAGCTTTGTCTGGGAGGAGCTAGAGCGAGAGAAAGGGGAGATGAATGAAGAGAGGAGAGAGAGAGAAAGAAGAAAAAAAAAGTAGCAACAGCTGGCACCGGGACGAGAGAGAATCGGGCGACGAACACAATGTGACCTCGATACAAGGGCTAAATCACCGTTCATCCCCCCCTCTTGTCTGTCCTAAGGCGTTTCAATCGACACACAGCATGCACGCGCTCGCTTTGCGATCATCCTTCTATATTATATAATCATGAACCGCTTGCACTTCGGAGGAGAGGTATCGTTAACTGCGCTTCATTCTGAATGAAATGTACTCGTTGGGAACCGGAATAATTTGAATTGTTCTGTACTCGTTGCGACGAGGGAAAATTTTAATTCGATTGAGAATTGGTCGTCAGCTTTTATCTGCTACGAAGAATAAACTGTTTTGTAAATTGGAATAATTCTGAAACGTGTATTGTGTATTAAAAAAGATTGCACACTTTTAACCCCTTAACCCCAAAACTGATCCTCGAAAAAGTGCAATTTTACTGAATTATTTCCTTTCACTTTACAAATTTCTCTGTCCTTTCTATTTTATGGTGAAAATGTAAGTCACGGCGTTATACATAAATGGGAAATTTATTTCTATAGCCTAAGAAATAATTTAAAAAATAATGAAATTGATCATTTTTGGCACATAAAGTTGAGAAAAATGTGAGCGTTAAGAGGTTAATTTACATTTGAAAAAATCCATTTTTTTTTTTGTTAATTTTCCTTGTAAAATATTTTCGGATTTTCGTGTAAATTTGTGTGTGCATACTACAGGTCCGAACGCAAAATACGGATAAGTCAGAATTTTCAGTTTTTGCAAAGGGGCGAAAATAATTTTTCCTTAAGGTTGGTCATATTTTATGTCGAATCGAGGGCTGTAACATATGCATATATTTGTGCAGGTTTTGCAATTATATTGTACTATGTGTATTTAGTTTCTTTCCGAATAGACAAAATTAATAGCCCGGGTATGGAAATTTTGCGGTGCGGATCTCCGCTGTAGGAACTGCGCTGGGTCTACGGCATGCGGTTGCAGAAGATACGGTGGATTGGTAAGAACCCGGACGTCTCGACTTTCTACCCGAGTCGGTGTGTAAAGCTACATTTAATGGCCCATTGTGTCGTTAATTTACAAATAAATCTCACACAAAATGTTGCTATTTTGTAAAGAAGGCTTCGGTGAATATACTGATAAAAAAGTCATATTTTTTAATATATTATTTAAACAAATGAACTTTTTGCAAATCTGTTTACGCAGTAAAATTCGTCGTTAAAAAATACAAAATTCGTCAATTTACACCATTCCATTATCTCTAATAGTTGTCGAGATATTAGAATAAATGTGTTTAATAACCCCAAACTTTAGGGTGGTTTTCACGGCTTCAATATAGACGATTTCCGATAAAAAAAATACGCGTCGAATATTTTTTTTCAAGAACTACCATATATCAAAGTTTCATAAAAATCGGTGATTTTCATTTTGAGATGTTCTCTTGTTAGTGATGCCGTCGTAATAATTCAAATATCTATATACATACATATGTATCTATTACATCTGCGTATAGCATGCAATAAAACAATTGTATGTAATAAACCAGTTCCTCATACTGCAACTACACTGCCATCTACAGTTACACTGGAAAGCTCAGCTGTGTTATTTGGAGCCTTCAAAGTTTGAAGTGGCTGTAGCAGTAGCAACAATACTAGTGACAGCAGCTGCAGAACTCTCTTCGTTTGACGAGAGGACAGCTGTTCTCTTTTGCCACTCCCGAGCACCAGGATTCGAGTTGTGGTTCAGGTTCTGTCTTTCGTGTCTCTCGCGCCATATGGATGGACTCGTTTTGAGTGAACTGCTAAGTTCCAAGAAACACATTCTCAAAATAAAATAAACGCTCGAATATTAGTCTCGTAGGTTTCTGCATAACGGTATACACACGCGCGCGTACACCCACGCACCACATATTACACTTTACAAAGTTTGAGGTTAGGTTAGGTTACAAAGTTTATACGTTACATTTGGAGGTTAATTACGGTATAAGAAATATTTATGAATATTTATGTATGTATAACGGTTGGAATATAAATTGTAATAAATTAGACAATAAATAGTAACTGATTTATCGCTGCGAGTATTAACACAGCGTTGATTAACGAGCAAATTCAGAGTTGCAGTAAATAGTTTTTTCAACGTTAGATGACAGCTCATTCACGTTTTCCGGTGAAATTTTCAAGGGTAGAATTATCATGCTGGCGACACGCGACTTCTACTACCGATAAGTTCCTTTTCGTAGGGCTTTCCAGACGGTAAAAGCCATGCATAGGAGGCTTTCTTTCCGCTAGATCACTGGGGTTGGGTGTTCCGTGCAACGAGTATGTATATACATTCCATGGCCTTTCACTCCTCTTTTTCTCTTTCTTTCTCTTTCTCTGGTATCTGTTCCCTTTCTTGCTGCAGCTGTTCGGCACATGAGTCCTATGCCATCTGCCATTACAGGCTACACATGCACACGCGCCTCCGGCGAGGTTCCAAGGTCCGTAATAAGTTTGCGACAATACCGGGTGTGCCAAAGTTTTAATGTGACCGTGATAAGTGATTAATTTCACGCTGGTTTATTATACGAGGAGAAGGTTTACCAACCCATTAGTTAGTACAATGAATTCTATTAGCAATATATTGCTATTGGATAATAAATATTGGTATCAAAATGAAATTATGATCGTGAAATATCGATCAATACAAAATTTACTCAATAATTGAATATATTACTACAATCAATTTGGGAATTTGTGATGACAGAAATGTATCGGTATTGGATGATGAATATTGGTATCAAAATAAAGTTACGATCGTAAAATATCCATCAATACAAAATTTATAATTTATGGTTATAGCAATATATAGGGTACCAAAATAAAATAACGATATAAATGATATTCTATGAAAATTAAATTATTCTGTTCTTCAAAGTCACGTTCAACTTATACGAATTAAGTAAAATTGTTTGAAAGTTAAAAACGAGTATGCGAATAAAAATACCTGTTTATCCCTGGTAAAACATATTCCTGACCTCACGTCGTGCAAAAGTATTTCAACGCGTTAATACCGAAACAAGTTATCCTACTTGAAACGTTTCAAACAGTATGCAAAATTACTGACGCATTTGCATAAAGGATTTGTTCATTCGTCGTGGTACTTCTATAATATTTCTATGTACATCGTTAGTATTCCTCGAAGTCGTTATTAAGAATAACAAGTCAAAATAGTATTCACGTGTGCCACTAGTATGTGTGTATGTATGTAAGTACCTCTGTTCTTCGTAGTATATTATTTCAGTAAATACAATTTACTAATGTACACTTACTATTTCAAATTTGTTACTTCTGAAAATATGCATTGTTGAAACTACCATGCAAATAGTATTACTTCTATTGGCATATTGATTTTGCAATAAATTGTATAACTAGAAAACGCTGATAAGTAACAGTGCACCAATAATGATGAAAAAAAGAAATTTGTAA